TTTAGTATTTATATTTATTAGAGTTAATGACACAATAAACCTTTTTATGGTTTCATCTTCTGCTACTGCTTCTGCGTTTTTAATTCCTATTTTAATTACTATTATGATGGAGGAGATTAATGATACAATTTGTAGAGCTTATATGATTTTTCTATGTTTGTTTATATTATCCTTCCATGTATTTGCGATATTTAATTTTATTAGTAGTAGTATTTTAACACAAATTCTTGCCGCATCATCTTTTGCTGCTGTTATAGTTGATATATTTATATGGTGTATATGGAATGTTTGTTGCAAAGACAGATATCGCTACAGATATCACTACTGGGAATAAATATATAATTTATTTAATATTGGTGTTATATAATATATATAAATAAATATCAAATTTAGCTAATCCTATTTATATAAACTATAAATAAGTATCAAAGTAAAATTAATCCGGGTATTTTCTTAAAGATTAGTTCAATAAATTCCAATACTTTCTCAAACATTGATAGAATGAATCCTTCCCACATACACCATATAAATGATGTAATAACTATGCCAGCAAAAGATGATGCGGCAAGAATTTGTGCTAAGACACTATCATTGACAAAATAGATTATTGCAAATGAATGAAAAGATAATATAAAAACATATAGAAAAATAATAAAAACTTTATGAGCCACCCTAAGATCGCCTTGCTTCCAAATAGCAATAAAAATAGACAATAAAAATATAGAAGCAGTTGCGGAAGATGAAACCGTTAAAAGTTTTACCATATCACTAACTCTAACAAATATAAATAATAAAGTTGCTATGGAGGACATCATTAAAAATGTAAACGAACCTAAAAGAAATAAGCAAGCCACATTGTCAGATAAATCTTCTGACGCAAATATTTTCTGAAATATTGACGTGATAAATCTAAATGTTTTTACAAACATTAATGCTATAAATCTAAATGCTATCGCAAACATTGATGCCATAAATCTAAATGCTATCACAAGCATTGATATGATAAACCTAAATATTGACACGATAAATTTAAATGCTATCACAAGCATTGATATGATAAACCTAAATATTGACACGATAAATTTAAATACTCTATCAAATATTGTTCCAAATGAGCAATTCTTATAAGTAATTTGAAACACTTCATAGTCTTCTATTTCAAAAGTATCTTTGTCAATAATTCCTAATTCGTAAGTGTGTTGCTTACTTATACCGATAGTAGATCTTTGTGTTTTATTATATTCTACCCATAAATCTTTGAAACCAAAACATGGACCTCTAGCCTTACACCAAGTGATTGCATCCTTTTTAGAAGAGACACGGCTTAATTTAGGAATTGCACCATTAGATAATGAAAATAGTGAAAATATAAAACTTTTTGATGTTTTTTTGAAATAATAATGATTATCATAATCACTAAATATATTGCTCAATAAATCATTTTTATACCAATCTAACGGATTATATCCACCAATTATTTCATTTGTATTTCTAACTTTAATTATAATAACAGTTGGTCCCTTATCATCACAACACTCATGAAACTTATTAATAGAAAAATTTTCACGACTTGCTTGATAAATAAGTTCAAATTTGACAGGCATATCTTTAAAACGATAAGGGAATCCTTGTTTCTTATCAATCCAACTTGCTATTAATGCTGCATCTTTAGCATCGATAAGTTTAGAATTAAAAGAATATGCTGATTCTCTTTTTTGTAAATTATTTTTATACTTAGGGTCTAAAAAATATTGAAGAATTTCATCGAGATTGTCTGGTAATATATTTTTGTATTTAGTTATAATAAATCGAAGCTCAAAAAATGATAATTGGAAAAATCTAATATGAGGAATACAATTATGTAGAACTTTCTCGAGTTCAATGAAATCTGTTTGCGTCCATTTAGTTGTATCATCATCTAAAATAGATTCTGTGTTTTCAATTCCCCATTTAATTAAATAATTCCAAATTTCAATCTCTTCTAACCTAAGACCATCACATTTCAAAAGCCTAATTAGAACTTTTTCTTCCATTTTTAAGAAATCTTCTGATTCAAAAATAATTTTTGGATTTCTACATACAAGTTCTAATGCAATTTGATATAAATCAGCGAAAATATCATATTTACATATTGTAATGAAGTCTTTGGGAAATTTCCAAGCTGATTCAGTTTCAAGCAAGCGTTTTTCAGCTTTTTGTTTAATTTCAGCTAATTGAATTTCATCGGCTGCAATAAAAATATCGAGAAGGCTATTTTCATCTTTATGAGAAAATTTTCCTGTATAAATATAGCTATTTATTTCATGAAAAATAATCATTTCAGTTTAATGTCATAAAAATTAATATAATTTTTTTTTTATTTATATATGAAGAACATTCATTCATATTTCAAATATCACTAGAGGTGTACCTCTCGTAAACATATCACAGCTACCGCACAAGTTCAGCATACTATATATACAGTCACATCGGTTATATCACCTCCATTTTCTCTAATTTTTTGGAGATATAACTAGTGTTGATATACAACTCAAGATATAAAAGGAAGTTTATTCTGCTCAAATATGAGAAAATAACTAAAGTGATGATATGACCAGAGGGATATAACCTAGATACGACTGTAACAAAATTTCATTAAAATTCTTTTAATCCAATCATTTATTCCGCATGAAGTAGATTTTATTTCACTCAAGTCATGTAAAATCTATTGCGAAGACAATAGCTCGGGAAAGTCACCGATCACCTACCATTCAAGTGATTTTGCATCTACTGAAGCACATGATCATACACCTATCGAATTCTATCTGGTAGCAACAATGAAATTTCGTTCAAATTTTAAAAGTTTTCTGCTGCCTCTTAGAAAAATAACCGCGGTAGAATATTTCTATACTTTGATCGAAATTTTCCCAACAACTATCTAGTTAAATTCGATGAAATTTTTTAAAATAAATTATAAGGACTCATTGAATTCATTCAAAAAATTTTCTTAGAATCTATTAGGTAATTGTTAAGAAGTTCTCCACAAAAGTTTAAAAAGAAAATTATTTTCTGAAGCGGCAGAAATTTCTCTAAACTTTAAACGAAAATTTCACAGTAACTGCTAGATAGAAATACGCATATCAATATTGGTAATTGCAAAATCACGTGAATGGTAAGTGTTCGGAGACTCTCTCTTATCCCAATAGCTCTATCATCTCTAGGGATGGGGAAGTTTGGTCCGATCTAATATAAATTCTTACTTATGCAGATCATGCATCAATCAAATTTGAATT